TCAGCCGCATCAAAATTTTCACTGTGTGTGTATATGTATATAGATAGATATAGATATAGATATACGCAAATAAAATATACTTGCACGAATTATCACATTTTTATTAAGCAGTAGCCATTCGAAACTGGAAAATAAGCTGATTTCCTAATATAGGTATAATATTTCGGTATAAAGAGGTGAATTAAATATCAAACAAACAAGTGAGTTTATGTCGTTATTGCTTAAACATTTTGTATGGTATCATATTTTTCAAGGAAAAGGGCAAGAAGTAAGCAAAAAACAAAGAAATAGATTTTAATATATTGTTTTACTTCTGAGAGTCAAAAAAGATTTACTCGAATAGTTTATTCCCGCGGTTCTCAAACTTTGGTACATGTACCACTGGTAGTACATTACAATATTTTCAGTGATACAATTTATTCAAAATGAATGTAAAATTGCGCCCCTTATAACATTTTGTTTTAATCTTTAATATTCAGAAACACATATATTTTTCAAGTTTTTTACTTTTATGACTCTAGCTTTAATGTTGAAATGACGACTTTTCCAAGATTTAAAAAATTTAAAAGCCATTTCTAATTAAATCTGACTTTTTTCTTTCTTTTTTTTTTTTACCCTTCGCAAAAGCTTCGAAGAATTTCCCGACGTTACGATTTCCAAGAATCGTAGCGGCACTCCAGTATACTCGTGGTGTACTTAAATGTATTTTATTGTAATGTAAACGTTTCATTTACGAATATAATTAAATAATATAAAGAGTATTTTTGTTTCATATTTACGTGGTACAAAGTTTGAAAATTTTAAGAACCCCTGGTCTATTCGATTCTTAATTTTTAATTGGTCCGCGCAATTAAAATTTTCAGACATATTTTCATAATAAAGTTTTCAGACTAGATAACATATGTTCCCTAAGAAAGCACTTGCTATGAGCAGTATAAATGTGAAGTTCTTGATAGATATCTGTACTATAAAAATGCATCATTTAAATTATAATTTTACATATGCATTATAAATATATATAATATCTGCATTATAAATGAACCTTAAGGAAATATCTTCATTATTGGCAGTTATAAATGTGATTTGTCTTTAACTGACTTCTCGAAAGTCAGTTTCAACATTAATCAATTTGCGATAAATTGTATCACCTGATGGAGATTAAAGATAAAACTTGTTACAGTGTTTCAACTCTTCGTAATAATACGACCGAATGGAGCATGGAAGTTTAATGCACAGAACATTATTATTTACATATTTTTTTTATTTCATACTGCACATCTCCATTATTTACCTCTTGACACAAAAACACTTTATCTTCAAGTCAGTACAAAATTCTAAAAACTAGTATACAAATAAAAAAAAATGAATATGGAAATAGCCGGATGAAGCAGCACTTAGCGATTTTTTCTTCCGTTTTTATTTTCAAAAAGGGAGCATACTTCCGCTCTTGATACCCAGCAAAGTTTAATTTATTAACGTCTTTGGTGCTGCCATTTTTGATAGTTGATTCGCTTTAAGATTCTTCTCAAATTTTAATTGACATAAATCCTCAAGTGGATCTCTCACTGGTAATCGAATGCGTTACTACCGCTAAAACACTGGATATTCAGCCCTGGTTCAAAATCCAGTAAAAAAATTGGTCTCGAGAGCGGTTTTTTTTTTTTTTTTTTTTTTTTTTTTTTTTTTTTTTTTTTTTTTTATGTTTTTCCATAACGCAAATGAGAACCAATTTCCTTAGAAAGTGCTCCACGAACATATTTCTTCCTTTAAGCAGGACAACCCACAAGCAGCCGAGTAATAAAGTCAATAACACTGGTAGTTCGGTCCGGTTTTCGAATCGTAGCGAACTGCTTGTCTACATGGGCATTTCTGTGGTTTTCCTCATTTGTAATGTGTATAAGCATCCAATTTCCATTTGAAAGTCTTTCCACGAAGGCATCCGTCCCCTTAGGCAGATAGTCATCGAATACTTTGCCCAGATAGCCTCATGTACTTTGCTTCATCAACGAACTACCAAATGCTAGAGATTTCACAGCTGACTATAATGTAAATATTTTACACTGTCAGTTTTTATATACTTTTTATGTATTACCATTTTTACATACTATTACTTTTTGCGTTATAAAATATGTGTTTACTTTCGAATAATGAAAAAAGTTCATTTAAACAAAGTTCATTTAAACAAGTTTCTGAGCCTATCGACTTAGCTTACTTCGTTTCGGTTTGAAATTTCGAAGTTTATTTGAATAGTTTGTTACTATGCTAACAAATTTATAAAATTCACAAGTGAAAGAATCAGTTTTCATTATAACTAATGCGATAATATTTTAAAATTTTCAACTTGGGAAGTATCCTTCTAAAACGAAAAAGAAATTATGACAAAAAGTAAAATAAATAAATTTAGAGAGCTTCAGATTTTAACGGATTTTAACGGTTGCCCAAAAAAGGGCTCTTTTAACATTTATCACTCACTAAAAAAAATCCCTTATGAATAAAGATTACCCGTAAGGAATACTGAAACAGTTTATAGGATACTATATGAATATACTTTTAGGCTAATATGGAAACGTTATACACGATGTTTGTTTTTAAACTGACACTACTCTGAACCATCTATACCTAAATTTTGGTAGCGGGATTAATGATTTGGAAAAAAAGACTTCGTAGGAAAAAAAAATTAATTTCGAAAGTTGCCGATAGGAGAAAATGTGGCACAGTTCTAGTCTGAGCTGAGAAAGTACCTGAGAACTAGATAAATCAATAACAAAACAAAACAAAAAAAAGAAAAAGAAAATAAAAGAAAAACATCAGTGCAACACCGCTTTGATGCTACAAAGCAACTGCCCCAAAGTATTACAAATGTGATATTTCAGCGCACCACAGCACTTAATTCCATAAAACAACTTCATCGGTGGTGCACAGGTCTCTTGACCATCTTCTCGTGGATCACACATTGCATCCTGTACATAACATTCTCGACAGTAGAGCCTAATGTCACCTGGAGTGCTCAGCATAGCTTGTGATATGTCGTCAAGGACGAGGTTACAACAAGGTAGTCCTTGAACTTCAAATAACTCCGCAGGGAAAACCACATGGGGATAGATCCGGGGAGAGATGCGGCCGTGAAAAGGAAAAAAGCGACTTATGACCCCTTCTTTCTGTAAAGTAATAGTGCAACAACCTCGACCGATAGAATAATGTGCGGTGTTATTCAATCCCCATAAAAGTTCCCTAATACAGCAGCTGCCTCTGCTGAAGTTGCAGAATGACAAAACCCGTCAGCATGTTATAACCTCTCTGCTTGGTAATAATACATAAGTGTGGCCCTTTTAACGTAATTGTTCTCACAAAAGAACGCTTCGCTGATGAAATTTATTGTGCATCCACAACAAATAGTGGTTTTTGTGAATGCAACTGGATTTCCTAAATTACATGGAGTTGTTTGTAGGCGAACTGTCCTCTTGGCTACCATTTAGGTAAAAATGGACCTCATCTTCCCACAGAGTTATCCATCATGTCAAACATTGTCGACTCCATCTGACAAGAAATGTCAGAGTAAATGCTGCCCGTTTATCCTAATCATTGTGTTTAATTTCTGAACACGCTTTATCTTGTATGGGTTCTGCAAGAACGTCTGTCTGGGAAGAACGTTCTGCAAGATTTACCCCATCACTATGTTTTATAGTTGGGCAATTCTCGGAGCAGTACTACTACCAGCAATGGTGCTACGGGTGTCGTCGACGATTGCAGTCGTAATATAAATAACTGTCTGGTTCTTACACGGGCTTCCACCCTCTAACAAACCGAACTGTTATGGATACTGTTTCTTCAAAATTCTGAATCGGGCTTTTCAATGCATTAATTGGTAGAGGACTTTTACGTAGGTTGTTACGACTTCTAAACTCACGAAGAGAGGAGGTTGCGTTCTATTGATCAACATAAAGCAGTTTGAAAAGTAGCGTGCGCTGAGTTAAAGTAAGAGATTGAATTACTGACGCTGCTGTCATTTACATAACCCAGTATTTTCATTTTCAAATTTTACCTGCGTTTCATCCAGCTTTTCAATTGTGAGAGATAGAACAGTGCCACATTTTCTACTATCGGCAAGTTTCAAAACTAATTCCTTCGAAAGAATTATATTTCTCGTGTCGTCATTAGTCTTCCTACTAAATTTGGTAGCATTCCAACTAATAGATGAGCGACAGATGGCTCTAAGTAGTGTTTAGTTTAAAAAAAAAAAAGAAAAGAAAGAAAAAAACTCTTCCTATCATCTGTATATTAGAAAATGTAAAAAATGTATATCGTAATTCTGTAAATGTACTAATGTGTTTGACTAGATATATCGTAAATTAAATGCGCTTTTATTTAAATCAATCAGTTTAAAAAGTAAAAAAAATAATATTCTTAAGAACTACAACTATTAATTTTGATTGTCAATTTGCAGCAGACAGACTAAATTTGAAAGGTAAATAACTTACATTTTTTCGAATGGTAACAGACTCAAATAAAAAGTGAAATAACTTAAAATCGTGTTTCAAGACTAATAGCCCTTTTAAGATAAAAATGCTCTAAAAAATCAAAAACAATTTTTTTAATGTTTAACATTCGCAAACATCTCATAAATTCAGATTAAAATAACACCCCGAATAACGATTATTGTAGAAGTTTTATACTAAAAAAACTGCATAAGTTAAAAAGTTCGTTATCTTTTATCCGTAATCTTTTGCAGAAAAACGAGTAATATAATATCCATTTATATACACGCGTCAAAAGTACTCATACGTCAGATCAAAAACTGTTGAAATTTGCAAATAATTTAACATCTGTCACATTTCCGAGTGGTTGAAAAACATTTTTTCCGCCAAATATAGTAATATCTGATTAGATTTATCTGGGATTAAGAAGCTGGGAATTGAACAGGAACTATGATACCAGAAGAGAAAAGTACAACAACTCGTGGGAACGCAGCAAATGGATTCTTGATTTATTTAATATTTTCTTAAAGTTAATATCTTAGAGGCTTCGACAAATTCGCGGTTATAAAATGGAGTGGATTTCTCTTGCTCGCGTCAGTCTGTAGTCAAGTTTACTCACAGCACATAATTGCCACCATGAAGTTTGCTTTGGTTTGCATTGTCGTTTTGGCTACCATAATGGTAAGTAAAAATTTCAAGTATTCACATTCGAAATATAGTTAACCACAATATAAAAATTCCTACCTTTTTGAGTGAAGGAAAAACTTGCGCATGTAACTAGTAATTGCTGTTTAAATACTTCAGCATTTTTAGCCATCAGTTTTTTCAGTTAAAAATATATCATCCTTTAAGTGAAATCTCTAAATCAGTAATGGGCAACCCTGGGATCACGAACGTTTATAAATTTACTTTTCGCTGCGATTTGTCCTACATACCGTTTTCACTCAGAATCCTTGATATATTTTCCCCACGTGTAATTAATTCATACTATTAATATATATTAATTTCTGAATATAAAATATAAATGAATTTAAAAAAAGAAATGAGAAGAAATCTGAAAGGATTCAGATTTTAACGTCATGCCGTAGGTTTCTTAATGGATTTTTTTTAATGATCTTGTTAAGCCCGCAGTTTCTCTGCTCTTGGATCCACTCCTGCTGACACAACTTTTTCTGGTCTTTTTAACTTTATCATTAAATATCCCTTTCTTTGCACTTACGCCGCAAAAATTTCAACAGTAAAATCGCTCAATTTTTTAAAACAGTATACATTTTTTTTTAAATAATACATGAAGATAATATTTGATGGCAACATCCTTTCACTTTTGTTGTCATATTCTTTTTTACATTCGCGTTACGTGGGGGAGAAAACAATGAAAATTTTCATGCAACCACAACATTCGTCGCGGTTTGAACCTTACTCTAACGCCCAGTGTTTAACTGCGTGACCAAAGGTGAGTTCCCAAAACTAAGCAGATATCAAGTGAGAAAGCACCTATAAAAATTACTCGCTATCTCTCTGAACTACTAATTTTAGTGACTTGCTCGGCTGTCAATGAAGAATATTACTTCATTTTCATTCGAATGCATTTCTTATATAATATTAAGTAATTTTAATGTTAAATATAAAAGAATTAACATATTTTTAAACTGTTATATTGTTATATTTTATTAAAGCAGGAATTACGTACAAATTCAAGTATATATTGTAATTACTGATGATAAAATTGTCTTAGTCTAATCTTTACATTTCCTGCATTACATTACACTACTAGAACATTTATTATAAACGCCACCAAATGAATTATTAGTTCCCATACGCTCTGGTATTTATTTCACCTTTGTCCACCATTGTCTTTATTTTCAAGAAAGTGTATCAAATTTCTATTTCTGAAAAGTATTGTCATTCTGCCAAGCAAAAGATCTTTATCTTTCAAATTAAAACTTCATATTACGCAACAAACTGAGAGATTTTATATCAATACACATTTTTCTTAATAAGGTACATCTTCATTTTTAATAATATTTTAACTGACGCAATTTGTTATTTTTACAAACACTTTTAATTGTTTTAAACTGTTTCTAACACTATACTAGTTACCTCGGATATAGACAACCATTTGCATGCCACCTAACAACGACGTTTTCAGTAATTATTTGTCACTAAAATGTCAACAAAAGATTTTTGATGAAGGTGGACAGCGCCATACCTACCTACCTTCTAAAAATAATTAATCACAGAATTTTCAAACCGTTGTTGCATATCGAAAAATGAATGAAGAAATAATTTTAATAAATCTTTACTTGTTAATCCAAAACAAGAACATTAATCAGAAAATTAATTTAAATAAATCACTTTCTGATTTTTGATGATAACTCATTTGTTTTATTTACCACTTGAAAAAATTAATGTATAATTCTTTAAATATTTTTTTTCAGCTGCAAACACATACATTTTTTAACTGGAAGAAAAGCAAGCCAAAATCAAATTAAAATTAAGCACAAAAGGACTAATGGAACACAGAAGCGAATATCTTAAGTATTAATTTTAACTGAAACAGTAGCTAAGCTGTTAAAAGACCATCTCGAAACAGTTAATTCCAGGTGGATTTTTTATTACTTTGCAATAGCACATTTTCAGAAAGATTATTCATAATATTTCATCTCCCAAGAGTAGTGTTATATAATCCAAAATTTAAAATTTTCTAGGTTGCCTCTGCGGCTTTAACCTGTTTTGGTGACGAGGAAAAGTGCGGTCCTGAAGAGTGCTGTGCACAGATCTTAAGAACGAACATTTATAAATGCAAACCACGTCTGGGTGAAGGTACGAAAATGAAATTTCTTTTATTTTTATAAATCTTAGTGACAATGTGTAACAATTTACTTTGATAAAACCGTGTTTCTTAAAAATCTAAATAGTTTAAAAAGTAGTTTAATCATGCATTGTTTAAGTTAACAAAGATATTCTTTTCTAAACATCTGTGATAAGTAGATAGAAACTCTTCCAATTGTAATTGGCTCGTTCTAAATAGATTTATCATTTTGATATTAAAGAAAAAATTTAATTTTTTAACATTATTGTTACTGAAGATAATGACCTAAGTCCTGTTGATCTCGCAATCTATTTCCGAACTAATGTTCCAAACAATAGTAATGATTTATTTGGGATATTTTGTTTCTAATACTGAAAACTAAAAAATTATTTTCATTTTACCTTTTGTAGTATCATTTGTGGCCCAAAACGGAAGAATATGAATTTATGAATTTTCAATCGCATCAATTTTAACTTATTCTGCTTTATTCTAGATATTCATCATCGAATACCAATTAGTTGAAATCCATTATAACGAACTTCAAGTGTCTGAAAGTTTGATTCGCTATATCCGATCTAGGTACTTTTCCGTTACACACCTGCTACGTATTTTGATGGGTTTTCTAATTGTGAACAAATTTTAAGGCATGTGTGTATGACACTATAAATTGTTTACAATTAAATATACGCACACACATTCGATGGCATCGCATGTGTTTGACCTCTCTTTCACTTCCATCAAAATGCGTGGCAAGTGCATAACGAATCAGTAGATCGGATTATAAGGATCTTAAGTTTTACTAACGTTTCTTTTATTTTTCTTTTATTTTAAAACTTTACTGTCCTCTCTTATTTCCACCTCCGGTCAGAATAAACGTCTTAACCTGTTTATGCAAATTGTGCTTCCTAACGCTTAACTGTTTAAGTTGTGGCTTTATGCCAAGAAGAGAGTTAAGAGAGAAAGAGAGTGAGCCTTCTCGCCACTTTACTTCACGCGCTTTTCAATTCAGTTGCTGTCCGCCTTTCAGGCCAGAGGTTTAGTCCACTTGATATCTAAGACGTATTGTAGTTTTCCGCAGTTTGCGTACTACCATACGTAAATATCTAAAAGGCCAATCTTAGTGTTATTCGTCTATGTAAAGTATCCGGGTTTAGCTCTTATTTAAATTTAGTTAGCTAGTAGTTCTTATTTTCTTACGTTCAGACCACAAGTGTCTGGTCTTTGTATCTCGAAGTGCGGGAGCACCTGTAACTCGTGGAGAATAAAGGGTAATTAAACCCTTCTCATCTACAATTTACAGAACATAGTTTCCAGAAGACTCACTGTTCTTTTCAGGACACTTAACAGATTAGAAGAAGCAGTAGTCTTGATTTGATGACTAAAAAAAATGGATAATCTCATAAAATACATTAAACTTTGATTAACGGATCATACAGGAAGAATGACAACATTGTCTCATCTCCCAAAAGATGTTAATAGCGCTCAGCTGGCGATGCAACTTTTGCCACCACACCAGGCGGCAGAACCCGAGGGCGGCAAAAATTTAAGAATTTGGGGAATCACCAGCCGTCAAAATTTAGAGATAAGAAAATTTTGAGAATATACGAGATGCACAGGGCAAAAGACTTTTAGAATTAAGGAGGCAAAATCAGCAGGGATGCAAATTGTTTAGAATTCAGGGAAGCACTGGGCAGCAGAATTCAAGACCAGCAGAGATTTCCAAGGATTGCCAAAAACACAGACTGCGAAATGATTATCGTCGGGACTGATTGTACTTTAAATTAAAAAGAAAAAAATATTAAAATTCAGTTACAATTGTTGTTATGTAAAAGTTACTAAATTTTTTTTCCACTGTTTCTTCAGTTTCAAAAAACGTTTATAAATTTATACGAAAAATTACTTAGAATAAAAGTCTAAATCCTTCCCTAGAGTTACATAATTGTAACTAAAATACGCATTTACAATTATGATTTAACATGTCTTAAGTAAAAGGTTTGCACTTAGTTAAAGAATTCGAATAGAATCAAAAGACCTATTCAAACTCTTTGTCTCAATGGATCAATTGCTCTTTGGCTTAGTGTTACAACAGTATCTCCCAAGGTATGCTTATTATGTGTTTTTATATTCCTAGAACTGAATGCTCACAAAGCCCTTTTTTTTAAGAGCACTGAGAAAGATGAGGATGAAAATAAAGAACAGTAATTTAAAAGTGTTTTTTCGTTATTCTAGCAAGAGAAAAGCATAAAATTAAGGGTTAGTAATTTTTCAGTTGAAAGTTTCAGAAATTCTGGGAAAAAGTTTGAAAAACATAAAGCATTTTCAATCCAAGATATCCTCGAAATTCGCTATGACATTAAGTGAAGAGGAAATTGGACGGGACGAGATCAAATAAGAAAAATTATTTTTGTAATTTTTAAACCTGTAATATCATTCTCAGGATCTAATTATTTATGAATAATTTTGAATTCGTATAAGAGTCAACATCTAAACTTCAGTAATAAAAAATTTGTTAAAAATTCTCAGTTTAAATATACAGAAAGTGAAAATATTTTTATATCTTGCCATAGAAAAATTCCGGCTAGCTCAGATAGTGCGAAAGCGCTTTGTATTCAAAATGAAGTTAACTATAGCCTGGTATTTATTTTATCAATCAACAAAAACTGACCTTCTTGCAAAAATTCAGATTCTAGTCTATCACTAACTGCTGATCAGATTAGTCTATCACTAACTATCTGAACAAGGTTTACAACTATGAAATGTAATTTTTGCTACTTGTGATTTCCCTGTCTAGTGACCCCAGTCAGTAATGCCACATCTGAAAGGATAAAAATCTATTATATACATATATCTTCTTAATATTATTGAAAAAGATTGCTCAAAAGCAAAAAAATATTCTAAGAGTTTTTACATACTTTACTCATCTCTACATGTACATAAATTTTAGAAATTAGTCCATTTTCAAACGGATTCATCATTCTAAATCAACCTGTATTGAAAATCGTTTCACATAATCAACATTAGATAGCAAATCTCTATTCAAGGTAAGCAGATTTAAAAGTTGTAAAAAATGAATTCTCGGACTAAAATTCATGCTTGAAAATACATAATTATTAATTGTAATATTTCCTACGTAGTTAAGTTAGCATAATCAGTATCATGTTTCGGAGTACAGTTCGGTTATAGTATTTTGTTTCGGAGAACAGTATTTTGTTTCGGAGTAATAAAACTCATATAACTAAGCAGCTCAACGTCTAAAAAATAAATAGTTACTACTAATCTTTTAAATTAAGTGCTTCTTCGGTTTGTAATTTTTTTCTTGCTAAGAAAGTCGCAAAAACTGCTGCGCACATTATTTTCCAATCGGCAACTCATAGAAGAAATTAGGATTATTTCTGAGGCGGCAGAAAATTTTCATATAAAAAGAGAGTAAATAAATTTTTGTTTGACTATCAGAAGCCTCAGCTTTCATTCTTGCTGAAGGGGGATGGCATCGATAAATTACAACTGGAGATATTCATGAGCTAATTGTTTAAAGAAACCTGTTTAAATTTGTTTTCCTATATTTTCCTTTGCATTGTCTGACATTAACTCAAAATTGCGATCAAGTCATGTATTGAAAGAATTTTAGGTATGCATAATAATACTTGAGTGCATGCATAAACTAAAATGTATTTATTTCTTGTGAATTTTATAGACGAGATTTGCGAAATGAAACCAATTACACACATCCTGAAGAAGCATGCATACGTCAATAGATGTCCATGTTCAGAAGGATTAAAATGCTCTTCCAGTAAAGGAGGAGTAATTGGAGTAAGTTTAATACTATTCTTTAAATATCTTATATATAAAGAATTATTTTTTTTTTACTCTTAGTTACCTTTTGTAGATTTCAGAAGTTTATGAAAGGCTTTAATACTTGCATACTGTGTCTTGTATTTTAATGCTTTATTATAAAAAGAATGTACTATTGTCAGTAAGCAAGAGGCTATAAACATACAACCTTAGTTTACATAAATTTGAACGCATTGTGTCCATTTACTATTGCTGCGTAAACGATATGGAAATAAAGAAAAATGCGTAATTCTTGAAGTGCATTACAATTCCTACGAAATTTAGTAAAGCTTAGAAGTCATAGAAACGCTGTTCGCTGATTTGGGTTCCAGGCAGAACAGATGCGCAAGAGATAAAATGCGATAAACGCGTTGCTGCATCTTTAATATAAAGTCTTTTCTTTATTAAATGAGTGGATAAGTCTCCACGTTGCAAAAATTTACAATGAAGTGTTGTCACAGCAAAATTTACTTTTCTATTATTTAGCTTTGCCCTTTTAGTGTGATTCTTTTAAATGCAAAATTATTTTACATTCATTTCTTATATTCTACAACTTTTAACTTTTGAGGAATAAGTAGGCTGATAGGCCTATCGTAACTGCTTACTTTGTTTCAGATATTAAACTAAAATCTGTTTACTAAGCTTAAATTTCAATTACTATTTTATATCACATTTTTTATATTTATAATTATAAAAAGTGTAATTTCTTAAAGGTTTCGTAATAACCTCTTATAGCTGCTAAACTGTCATCTGAAATTCTCAAACTGTATTTTTATTCAGCATCTTATTGCATTGCCTGATAATGGCAAAGAAGCACAATAACTCCTTATCAGTATTTGAGATATCGTACTATAAATACAAATATAACAATGAACACTACACTTATTTTAATTTGAATGATCAAGCAGCAATCAGTGATTAGTTTTCTTGGCATAAATAAAATACCTATTTTCCATGGAGTTTCTTATTACACATTTATAGCGTTTTTTAAATATTAATGCCGAGATTCGGTCTAGACTGAAAGCCAAACATCTGTTTTACGAAAGAGACATTATTGGTATCAAAACCAGTAACACTTTCTCATAACTTCTGCTGAAATATAACAACTTGAGAAACTTTAACGACTTAACAGAATTTTTCTCTGAGCTTGAATGCAGTGACTCAAATTATTTGAGCATAGGAAATATTCAGATATTCAGTGATAACCTATCACCTATTGTCCCAGAATCAAATATTGTTTCGTTGCTTCCCGTAACTATCATGATAAATCTATTATGATGAATAAAATTGAATAACATTAGTAAATAAATGGGATGTTTTAAATACGCTGTCTAAACATGATTATTAAAGTAAAAAAAAAGAATTTAGGTTTTGTAGTAAAAAATGAGATAAATACCCAAACTCTGTATCACTTTTTTTTGTAAGGGGCCTGGAAGAAGGATTTTGGAAATGACAAAGATGATGTTAAAGGCTAAAGCGCCACGTAGTTAACATGAGTGTAAAAAATCATGAGACCTCTTTAGATATGAGGAAACTTACAACATTTTGTTGGAATCATCATCGAAAATTACTGAAAAAAAATGGCTGAACTCTGGAATATAAGTAAATCTGGAGTTCATAATGTAATTTCGAAATACCGTAGAATAAATTTGATTGAGGGCAAACCACGAACTGAGCTCCAAGTCGTTTCACTGGATGCGAAGAAAGTTGGGTCATTAAAAATAGTATTTGTACTCCTAAAACTCAGTGTTGTCAAACTGACATTATAAGCCTAACAAATGCTTAAAAGTAAGCTAGTGTAAAAACTGTAGCAAATATTTTAAGGAAATTTAATTTTCATGCCCGAATATCTAGAATATAATCATTTCTCACCAAAGCAAATCGAAGGACAGGATTACAATTTGTTGAAAACCTATATGAAAAAGACTCAAAATTTTTAGAATTTGGTTATATAATGAAAGTACATCCAATGCTTTTGGGAGTGAGGGGAAGCTAATCGTAAGGCAAAGACCAATACTGAATTTCAAATTAAAAGTTTTATTCCGTTAAGAAAACGTGCTGGAGATAGCCAAATGGTCTGGCATTGTACGATTGTTCGCGGCATTGGAAATCTACATTTTATTGATGACTAAATGAATTAATTTAAATATTCAAATATTTTTAAACAAAACTTGAAACAAGGCACTCAAAACTGGACACATTCCCGTATTACGAACTTCATCAGAACGATAATCCCAAGCATAAAGTATTTATTTGCAAACTGTTGGACATTATGTAACTGTTCACGTGTAATCAAGACGGTAATTGTGCAACCACGTGTCTGTTCAGATTCCAGACCTCATTACTATGGAATTTATATCATTTGTAAAACTGTACCGCAAGTACAAGAGTTCGACTTTCCATTCTAAATGTTAAATTGTTTTAAAAATTAATGAATTCTTCACTTGCTTTAAAATCCTTAATGAAGGTTCAGTTTGTATTTATTTGTACTGTTTGAAATATATACTTTGACCATGAGTATTTTATTTCTGCTTTTGCATGATAAATATGGTTGCGGAACTGAAACAAACTAAATTAGAGGAGCTTGATGAGAAAATGAAAGTTTGTATAGCTGCTCAAGCTTCTATGACAGGACTTGACCAAAGTGCAACTCCGTCATTATTCACCTATCAGATTGTGGAAGTGTGCACTTAGAACCAATGCTCTGAGTTTCTGTATTAAAAAAAAACTTGCTTTTATATAGTGCAAAATATTTCATGATCTTAATTTTATTACAGAAATTCCTCGGAAAATGCCACCCATCCAGTGATGAAACTGAACAACCAGAAGGAGAAGAATAGCATGTATACTGAATAAAAACTGTGCTTTCAGTTATTTCTTTGGTTTCATTTTTATTGTATTAATTTTTTTTGTTTGTTTGTTTATTTTTCCTTATAACGAAATAGTTAATTAAATTTGAATAATAAATTTGGGTACTTATGTAAATCCCTTAGCAGAAACTATCAAAAGTTTTCAATAAACACATTTGAAATCATCTACCAGTAAGAAAATTTACTGCTTACTGTGAATTTTTCTCTAAAGAATTACGAAGTTACAAATGAAATACTTCTCCCAGACAAACCAATGCAATACTATCATAACTATGATTTATAGTTATTATAGGAGATTTGGACAGTTATCATTTAAACTGCATGCTACCTAAACTTTATTGACTTACAAACAGCAATGGCAATGTTTTTCAGCAATTGAAGAAATTAATGTTTAAAACTTACCTAAAAGTGAAAATAATACTGAGCTAAAATTGAGAATTTATTTCTTGAAGAGCTGGAGGGTTGTTATTCATAACTATTGTTATGATTCATGTGAAAATCTTCTAGAACCATGCAGAAATAAAAAAAAAAAAAAGGTTATTTAAGAAGATAAAGGAAATTTAATTATTTGCTGTATTTTATTTTTAGTTTAAAATATTTACGTTATAAACATGTACGACTGGAGATGAGAATGAATTATTATTTACTAAAGAAATGATTTTTCTGTTCCTCGTTTTACATATGCCTCTAAGAAAGTGAGCCCAGAATAACAAACTTCATATAAAAAAACTACTCTCGATTCCTTTTATTTTAAAACAAATGAGTTCAGAATTTAATAATTTACATCAGAAAAATGGTATTGGCAGATATGTCATCAATCATGAGCAATAAATTTATTTCAGCACATGATAGTCTCAACTGTACAACGATATTCGGAGCTTCTTTATTATGAACATAGTTATAACGCATTAAACACTACTGTCATATATAAGTGTATATTCCTGTTCGATAACATTCTGTCCAAACAGTTAAAATTTGCTAGGATTGTTTTAAAACTGAACTCCTTTATTTTAAGATGATGAACATTAGTTACTACTTCTTCATGAAAGTCAGAAATTTTTTTTTAACTCAATTTTCTTGTTATTTACTTAAAATTGATTTAACTAAATGCAATCATAGTGACATCAGTTTGTAATAAAACCAAACATGTGAATAATAAAATCTCAAACATGCCGAATATTGTCTTTGCAAATATCTACACACTTGTTTTAGGTCGATGTAATTAAATACAGGGAATAGAAATGTTCTGTACCGTACCTAACGTGTAGCCTCAGATTTTACCAAAAAACTCTCAGATTCTGACTTCATACACCAACATTGTGATCATAAAATCATTTTGAAGGATATTTCAATTAAATACAATGATCAGAAAATATTTGAATTATGTTTGCTTGTGTACTTATTCTTTTTAAACTTTCTTGCACCTTTGCTTTTTGCATTCACCTATTCTCATTCGCAATTTGTTATCTCACCTCTGTTGCTAACAGTTTTCATTTACCACAAAGGCCCTAAAATATAAGATTAATGATGCTACAAATGCTTGAAAACTACTAGAATGCTATTAGTGCTAATTGAAACGGTACATTGTGCTATACAGTACAAGAACTGCATTTCATCAATTCTCAGTTGTTTTAAGTGTATTAAGTAAAAATATCAGAATCTTTTACATTTATAAAAACGAGAGAAAATATACTTAGTGCACAATGTAATATTTTATATTACTTTATTTAGGAATGGAATATGCATCGCGTTCCAACACACAAAATGCTTTATTAATTAAAATTAGTAATCCCTCATTTGCATAATTTATCAATTAACTTATACTGCAATTATGTGTGTTTCATGAATACACTATTATGTATAGTGTTTGTTGTTATTCATGTTTAACATATCTGCCGTAAGTCTTTTGACACCATACCCGAAGATATAAGGTACTCTGTATAAAAATTTATTTTTTGTTTCAGTGGCACTAGTCCCTTTTTTGTTTCTGTATGAGAGAGAGAGATGTTTCCCCATATATTTTTAGCTCATTACAGTTTTAAAAGGCATGGCTCTACCGCATATGTACAAATATTAGTATTAAATGGTGTAAGAAAATATGCATAAATATCTCAATAATAATGCAATAATAAATAAAACACAATGATGCACAAATATCAATAATAATCATCCAGTTCAATAATAATATACATCAGTGTTCTATTTTTTATACAAAAGCAGTTCTGTAAAAAAATTTAAAGCAGCATATAGATCCTGTAGATACATTACTGTATAAATTTAAATAACAAATAATACTTTAATGATAAAACTGAGTCAGTTTTATAATTCTACTTCAATTCTGCATTACTTAAAGAATAATTTTAGATACATTTTTCATCATGCAGCCTAAAAGTGCTAATATTTTTTGTAGGATGCTGTATCTTTTATTGATGTTTCTGCAATTTGGTTAGAAAAAATTGAATAGTCTGAAATTTGGAATATTATTCTGGGATGCTCTTGGTTATCAGAAAAATCAGTTTCGACTTTTACACAGTAAATTTCATATTTATTTGAAAGTATATATAGTTTCTCCTTTAACATAAAATAATACTTTACGGGTTTTGAAAAAGTGTTGCGTGCGTACGGTTTCGTAATGGATTGAATGTCAAGTCGATAAAAATTTAATAAAATTTATTCTTATCCCAATAAATAAAACAAAATGTTGAAATTTCCTCAGAGATATTCTCCCAACATTGCAATATCTCACAGTAGCTATGTTATCCCACTTCTCTGCCCCCTTCCCAAGAACTGCACGTCCTGGGCAGTTCAATCCCTGCACATGAACCAAAACTTACAACTAAGGGGTCAGTGCAATAATAAACATTACATTACAGTAACAAATAACATAAACAATAATTGCAATTTGTAACTTAAAACAAATCAAATACACATTTAGAAACAAAAAGAACCATGGTCTTATACTATTTGCAATTATATACACTACTCACTGTGGCCATAGTGAGGAGCTAACCTGTCGTAATGAACGACTTTAAGTTTAGAGTTCAATGACTTACGGATCCGAACCACAACGTCGTTCGTCCTGTTTAGAACTGTGTACGGACCATCTCAAGGTCACTGTAGTTTCGGACAGAGTCCTTTCCGTCGAGTCGGCTTCCACAACCACACCGTGTATTCTTTGTTCAATCGATCTCCAGTAGCTCTTGTGTCGTATCGGGTCTTCACCTTCTCCGTCGCCAAGTTGACTCGCTCTTGCATCACTTCAAAACGAGCCTGGACATCTTGGATGTATTCCTCAGGCGATGAAGGTGGATCCGGAGGGCGACCAAACACAAGATCACAAGGCAAACGAAGGTCACAACCGAAGAACGTCTGAGATAGAGAATTGCCAGTAGTCTTGCGTTTCTCTTCGACCCTAGTATGATTTTGACAGCTTTCTGAGCGGGGTCGTTCAGACAAGGCGTCGGCGTTTCCAGCTGAGGATTCCTTCTGATGATGGATAGTTATGTCCTCTGATTTTGAAAGCAGTCTGTTGTTTTTGAAGTCTAAGAAAAAATTGTATTACCTCAAAAGTCCAATCCAAGGATGTAAGGATCTGTAATCTCTGCCACGTATGCCCTGTGATGGTAGGCGGCAATTCCAAACGTGATGTTCACGTTTAACTTCTCATCTGTGTCGATTTTATCGCCAGACACAGTCTGGAGCGCAACACAGGATATCGTCCAAATGAGTTCATCTTTAAATTGTTGAGCTAAGTCTTTCCGAATGATGGTAACATTAGCTCCTGTGTCAATGATAATATTTGCAAGGAACTCCATCGATATGCCCATTGATGGGTAGTCCATTATTGTTGCCACTCACTGCAGAAATCTTGAGCACTTTTAAACGGCGTTTTTCATTATCTGGCAACCTCAGTTCCTTAATGTGGTTGTAGAGGCATTAGGTATTTTTGAAACAGGAGAGATGAAAATTAGCAACCGCCTTCGCCGGAAATCGAACCGCGGACCTCTGGAATACCGGCCCAGTGTGAAAACCATTACACCACGAAGGCTCGCCAAAAAGGTGGGAGAATTACCTTATATGGTCATTAATTTGTTTCCTCCGTCGCTGCTAGGAAATAGTCTTAATTTCCGTGACCGTGTTCTGCAGTTCCTTCGCACGTGACCTTTAGCTTCGCAGTTCCAGCGTTTTGGTTCCTTGTCACTCCTTTACCTTCTCATAGTATTTAATTGTCTGTTTATATCGTCTGTCTTATTTTCCTTGCTCTGGGATGTTCTGTAGTTCCTTCGTATGTGGCCTTCAACACCGCAGTTGCAGCACTTTGGGATTGTTTTCTTTTCACTCCTATTCCATTTTAAGGCACTCACTGGTCTTGTCAAATCATCCGTTTTAGTTTCCGTGCCCTGGGATGTACTGCAACGCCGTTGTATGAGGCCTTCTAACTCCTACTCCGTATCAAAGCGTCGACTTGTCTGGATAAATCACCTAAACGAGCCATCAATTGATCCACTGGCTCTTGGACATGCGCGGGTCTGATTGGATGTCGATCTCTACGAGTTACTTGCTGGACTGCCTCGAATTTCATGGCGTACACTAGCGCGCTTTTTAAATCCTTGACATCCGCCATTCGTAAAGCTTTCTGTATTTCAGGATCCTGGATGACGTTGATGAAATATCGCAGGGACAGGATTTCCCTTGTTTCTGTCGAGCACTCCGAAATGTCAAGGTGGGACAGCCTTTCAACATCCGTGGCGGGCTTCTGGAGTGTTTCGGTGGACTTCTGTTGATGGGATTTTAAATGAAGCCTGCTCTAATCTTTCAAACATTTCTCCCCAAAGCGCAGCTTCAATGCGCCGGACTATGCTTCGAAATCTAGCCTTTGGTTCTCGGAAAGAGTCTGAAGGATATCCGCTGCGTCTGATCTTAGAAAAGGGGCGAGATGACAGGTCTTAGCTTGGGAATCCCATTCATTAGCTTCCACCACTGTAGAAAATTGTATCTTATACAT